GATTCTGCCTTGGGAAAGGAAGAAGTTTCTCATCTAAGTCATAACATCTGAACTGGTTCTTTTTTTTTCTTTCTTTTTTCTTTTTTTCCTGAAGTGATTCTTGGATGAGAAAACATTGTGTCAGTGTTAATGGCAGAAGGGGTCCAGGAAGAGAGAAAAGCATAACAGAAAACACCAGAATATGAGAATGCTGGCTGGGTTGGAGAGGTTTTTTTGTGAGTAGAATTAACAGGACTGAAATGAATTGCAGGTAAAGGATTGGAGGTGAAATAGATCTGGGAGACAAGGAGATCTCTTATTTGAAAGACTAGGTGAATGAGATCATTCCAGGGAGAACATTTTGGGGGAAAAAAAAGTGGAACAGTGTTAAAAATAATGTAATCCTGGATCCTTTACCACTTTAGGGAGGGAAAGACAATGAAAGAAGAGGACCAGTCAATGAGGGAGTGAGGGGTGGGAGAGAGTGAGGGATGGGAGAAGGAAGAGGAGAAAAAGCAGAGTCTTGGAAAGCAAGAGTGTGAGATAATGGTGGCTGAGAGTGATAATGATACAGAAATATCTGACTGGAGGAAGGTTCACTTGATCTTAGCCAAAAGGCCAAGAAGCGATGACTGAACGAAGGTTGATCATGGCCTTCGTAATTGTGCATAAGGTAGTACCTGGTGACTCAAGTGAAAACCATTTTAATGGCACATACAGGATGGAAATCAGAATGCAGGGAGTCAAGTAGTTAATGGGAATTGAAGAAATAGATATGAGGATCAAGGTTATGTTTTTCAGTAAGTTTTGGTATATATATGAAGGCAGACGTTACAATGGTAGCTTGACAGGTAAGGTAAGGAGAAGATTTTAGTGCGTGAAAGAAGAAAACAGAACATTTCATGAGCACTTATGGTGTGGCTAGGCACTTTTGAATAGGAGACCCTTGTACATATGTGTGGGCCAAAAAGGATGAAGGGGGGAGAGAGTGAAATTATAAGAGTTATTTAAGAAAAAAAGGAAAATGGGAGGTGATAATGGGCAGAGGAAACACCATGAGGGAATTCATCTTTGCTTGATCAGGCTTTGTTGGAAAGGGCTTAGAAGAATGCAATGTGCTTATATTTGGCTGCAAAGTTTTTGGTGTTTTCATGACTTGGGTTTCTATCTGACCTAAATAGAGGGCTTTTCTAAAATGGCAATGGATTTACTAAAATGACAGCTTGAGTCTAATACTAGCTAACATTTACAGAATGCTTATAGAATGACACTCTGCTAAGCACTTTATATGCATTGCTCCCATTACCCAACAACCCTCTGGTGGAGATAACTATTCTCATCCCCACTTTATACAGGAAGAAACTGATACACAGAAAGATCAATGTTCCTAGGTCCCAGGGCTAGTGTGTGGTAGAGCTTAGATTTGAACCCAATGTAGTCTGTGTCCAGAGCTTATATTTTTAATCCCTCTGTTAAAACTGTCTATCCAATAGTATTTCTGCACGAATTACACAATTACCCTTAGTCCACTCTTATTCTGGACGAAGGGACAGGTTCTGGCTATTTGGTTTTCTGCTATGCTCAAGGAAAGGTGCACTCTACTTCAAGAAGCTCATGAATATCAAAACCTTAATCACAGCTCCTTGGATGACATGGGTTCATGCTTTACAAACCAACCATGGCCCTAGTCATATTAAAATCAAAGTTGCAAAATAAAGAAACGTCCTGAAAAGCGTTGTCTGCTTCATTTAGATAACAGTGTGCAGAATGAATTGAAAGATAAAAATGCTTAGCATTTACCATTTCCTTTTTCTTTTTTTTTTTAAATTTTATTTTAAGCCCAATGGTGTTATGGATGATATCATCAGGCAATTTGGTTTGAATATGTTCCATGCTGGACTGTGCAGATTACCCAACTAATGACATGCATACTCCTTGCCATTGTGACACCTCTCTTCTCACAAGTGGGAATTTCAAGTGACAGACTAAAGCTGTTTGCTATCAATTTTGCAAAAAACACATCTGCCAGATAGCCAAGATTTAGTTCAGAGACTGAAATCAATTAATATTCTAATTTGTTACCTGTCATTAGCATCACACTATATTATGCCAAGTCAAAAGTGATAACCTTTATATAACATATGCTCCTAAAGGAATTTGATTTTAGGAGACTGTTTCATTTTTGTTTAGTGTTGCTCCCTGCGTACAAATCCCATTAGAAATTTCAGTTACACAGGCAGTTAAAAATTGTGATGGATTAAAATAAAAGGGTAAAACATGCAGCTACGTATTTTAAATAGAACTACATGGCTGCGTTTATGGTAAGTTTTTGTAGTTCTAATTTACCATAATATTTTAAGATTTAGGTAGTGGACTTGTTTCCTTCTATTAAATCAAGGAGAGTTCCAGCAGCATGATATTTTTATAGGTGTTCCCCAGATCCTCTAGCATTCTGTTGCTTTAGGTTGCTGATCAAAAGCAAATCTCTGTGGAGGAGCAGAGGAATCACCTGGTCTCATGCCCAGTGTCTAAGAAAGGGACACGGGAGTGGAACAGTGGCTTGGGAAGAAAAGAGGTTAGCCAAGGGAAAGAAAGGAAGAAAGGGAGCGTTTTATAGTTTTTTTTTTCCCTCAGCTGACTGTTTTCTTGCTGATGAACATGGAGTGAAATATAAAGTACATAATAGTTATCAGCTCTGAGTGGGAAAGGCTAAAAGATGGAGGTGTCACTATAAGGATAAAAACAAATTGCTTTTTTCAATGTGATGACACAGTCAAGCACTGAAATGATTCTTAATGTCAAAAATCTAAGATTTTTAAGATGCTCTAATTTTTCAGCATCTTAAGGCCCCAAAGTCTAAGAGGGTGGTTGAGGATACAAGTTAAATTGACATTCATTCATTCATTCATTCATTCATTCAATAAGTAGATATGGAGTGCCTCATATGTATGAGGTACCCCTGGTATATGACTGTGCAAAGAACAGTTCCAACTCCTTGCCCTCCTAGAGCTGACAGTATTTTGGAGAGATCCAGAGCAATTTAACAACAAAAAATAAGGAGCATCATCTGGAGTGCTATACGAAGTATTATAGTGAGATTTAGAGCAAGGGTGAGGACAAGAATTGCTGGCAAAGCTGGGGTGGGATGAATGTGTTATCACTGTAAGCAGCATGGTTGGGGAAGTCCTTAACTAAGAAGATGACATTTGGCAAAGCCTAAAGGAGAAGAGAGAATGAGTTATGTGGATACATAGGGAACATACAATCCCATAGAAGATTGCCACACCACTCATGTTGTTTACTCTTCTAGAGAAGGAGGAGATGGTGACATTGAAGACCAGACAAAATATGCATTTTATTTGATGTTTGTCCATTCTTTCTTTCTCTGCTAGCTCTTTTCTGTTAAAGTGATTATTTTGATAAAATATTCAAGTGAGAGTTGGCCCCTGTACATATGCATTTTGGTTTGCACCTTGTAGTCACAACCTCAAAGTTATGACAACGGTACTGGGATCATTCATCAGCTCTGCAGCAGGGCGGGGGAGAGGACTTGCATTTCTCATCCATTGGGCCATCTCTACCTCCTCTAGATTGTGGATTTTCCTGTTGAGAATGATAATTACTGGCAACTCTGCTGAGAGTGTCTGTCAGATGAAATTGAATTTGATAAAAGTAGACAGATCAACAAATTGTTAGTCACTGAGGGACAAGAAGTTGATTCCTTGTGGGTTTTTTTTTTTTTTTCACTTGGTTTCTCAGTGTTCTTATAGAATAATTTTCTTATAATTTGATAAATCTCTCATCTGGATTACTACAACATCCTGCTTTTATCGTCTGCCCTTGCCTTTCTGGAACCCATTTTCAATACTGTAGCTAGAGCGATCTTTAAAAAAAGCACCTGAGTCAGATCATGGGACACCTCTGCTCGAAACTCTCCAAAGGCCTTTTATTTCACTCATGGTACAATCCAGGTTCCTTAGAATAAGGCCCAAGGCCTCACACGATAAGGCCTGTGCTACAATCTGAATTCACCTTCTGCACCCTCCACCTGGTTCATCCTGTGTAAGGCTCACTGGGATCCTTGCTGTTACAAGCAGATTTTTGCCCAAGGGGCTTTATCCAAAATTCCCAGGTTTTATAACTTCTTCCATTTCCTCTAAGCTTCCTTATGAGAGAAAGAAAGAAACCAGCCCTGGTCATCCTCAAAAATAATGTACTACCTCTGTGCCCTTCCATATTCCACTTACTCTTCTTCCTTAGTTTCTTCTATATCATTTCTTACCTAACGTGATTTCCTATATATATATTACACATGTTATATTATATATATATATATAAAATATTTGCATCTTTATTGATTTATTACTTCTTTTTCTCACTAGAATATAAGCCTTGTGAGGGTCCAAACCTATTGTCCCAGCACCTGAAAAACTCTCTAGTTCATCGTAAGTGTTCAAATCTGAATAAACAGACCATCCTGTAGTTTCAGATTAAAATGGCACTGATAGAACTTAGTGCTTCACTCATACACATGCACTTAGGAACAGGTAGTCATTTGTTTTCCTGATAAGGGCAAAGAAAAAGTTTAAAATTGTGCAGAAGATTTTGAAATATTAATAAAAGAAAATCAAGCTTGTAATATCAGGAAGGCACATTTTAGCTATTGCCTAGGAATAATCTTCCTAATGGAATGATTTCATTAATACAAATTTAAAATATATACAGCACAACCCATAAACATGAATGTTCTAGAGAAAAACAGACCTTGAAAAAAAATACCCACCTACATTAAACACAAGATACAATATTTTTTATAAACTGGACTTTGATGTATAAAATATTTTTAAAGACAAAAAATTCCATTTTGTTAACAGAATGCTACTATGCCAATAAAAAAAAAAAAAAAAAAACCTCAAATATAAGTTGATAGTATGTTAAGAGAAGTTCTGCTTTTTTCCCCCAGTGGGTAAGGTCATTTTCAAGCATTTCTCTTTTAACCAACTATATAGAGTAGTACTCACATGGAATTTTATGCAACTCATTCATAAACTTCTCCTTCAGCTTAGAAAAGGCATCTTCCTTTCCTTCCCCAGGACTGGCTGGCTCTGTGGCATTATGTGATAGAACAGTTGCAACAGTGGTGACTGGCGGGGCGGCCAGGGCCTCATGATGACTCTCGCTCACCATTTTAGGTTCAGGTGAATCTAGGAGGGGAGGGAAGCCAAAAATAGAGAGAGAGAGAGAGAGAGAGTGAGAGAGAGAGAGAGAGAAAACAATTCAAAATGGCTGAACTGATCCCACATCAAAGGTGGAGATGAAACACATCAGAGGGTGCACCTGCCAATGGGTAAATAGCCCATCATTAGCATATTACTTTATGTTGGTTCATAAAGTATTTATGGAACCACTGTGGAGAGTCTTTCCCAGAAGGTAAGACCAGGCGTGCTTACTGAAAACACTCTCCTCACAATAATATGTGAGCTGTCAAATCTATTAGTTGTTTATACTGCCAGTTATTTACTGTGCAGATTTAACTTCCAATCCATACATTATAGAACTCTGTAGGAAACAGTTGCTGACAACATACACTCTGTATGATCTCCACATTTTCTTTTTTTTATAAAAGGAAATAAAAATAAAATATTTATATTGAAAATGTTGATGAATAATAGCATGCATTCAAAACAAGTGACTTTTAAAACAGTTATAGGCAATGCAGTTATAACATAGATACTGTAAGATGTCGTGAGTGTCACAAAGAAGTTAGTGTTTGAATCTCATTTATTGATGGCACATTTTCCTCCCATTTTTTTTTTTTGACATTTACTGTAGACAATACTGTGATCAATAATTCACTTGTCTTGCCGGGTATATGTTTGAAGCCACTATAAATGTGGCATGATTGACTATATATATCAAGGAACTGATGATGAAACACGCCTTGCCTGTCAAATAATTTCAGTTTATTTGATTTGATTATATTACTGAATTATTCTATTAAATTAACTTATTCAGTTCCTTTAAATGTTTGTTTACCTCCAAAGTGTTAAAAAACAATCCTTAAGGTAGCCAATGAAAAAAATCTTAGCCTTGAGTATAGAAGACCTCTGTTCTAGACCTCTTTGTAGCTAAATGAATTTTGATGAGGCATTTGACTTCTTCATTTACCTGCCTTCTGAAATACGAAGAATTGAAGCCTACCCTGCCTGGATTTTTCTTACTAGTACATATGAAGTGCTCTGTAAATGAAAAGAAGGAATTCCAAAGAGGTAGGCTTGAAGTCCTATTCTCCAATCTAAATATATTCTGGACTTTCATAATTTTACTGTGTGACTTAAGGTTTCAGGCAGGGCTGGTAAGAAAGGGGACAGTATTGGGAGCAGAAATAGATAAATACAAGCATGTCTTGTCAAAAGTAACTTCACAGTCTCAACAGGCTAGCTGATGGACCTATAAAACCCTTTTGATTTGCAAAGAAATGGAGATAGCCAACAAACAGACATGGGATTTTTATAGAATTGAAACCTTTTGTGAATTAATTATGTATAATTATATATTAGTATAATTAAAAGCACAATAATCTCAGATGTACAGAATTATTATAGAATATGAATCAAAATCCAGAGATTTTTGGGTCTCCTGAAAGGAGATGATGGCTGAAGCTAATACACGCACATAGATAATCGATTTTCATTTTATACTATATTCTTTTTTTAAGGCTTTTAATTTTCCACTAGTAACTACTTATATAACCTGAAAGGATAGAATCAGACAGATGTGGATGTGGATTGACAAGTTGCCATGTTTTTCTCTGTTCTTTAGTTTCTTCATTTGGAAAGTGAGAATAGTCATGCCGAAGACATAAGATTGTGACTATGAAATGAGATAATCTGTGCCATGAACTTAGCCCTCTATCGATTGATCAATCCTTCCATCCTTCCTCCTCCCCTCCCTAGTAATATTTGGCAATCCAGAATTTTCCAGATTGTGGAAAATTGTATTTTTTTTCCAGTTCAAGGTCATTTTCTATAAAGTTTTCTTGATTTTTCTAATTCTGTTGATTCTGTTTAGCTTAGGATCTGTATCCCTGCCAAAATTTGGAGTTCTGTTTGTATAACTTAGGTGAAATTATCGGTATTTTAACACCATAACTTTTTATATTTCATGTGCATCAGCAAAACTAAAATTATATACACATACATAAACACATACATATGTATGAAATATTAGTATGTATGTATTCAAAAACTGATTTTGGTCCTCTGCTTTGAAAATCACCCATTATGATATGCATTATTATTTATCTCCACAGGTTGGTTGAGGATACTTGAGGAATCATGGTTTACTGATAGAATTTAAAATAAACTATTGCATTAAATATAAATACCTATATACAACAGTGTCATCATTAAATTAAAAGTATATCATCTAATTATATATTTACTTAATTTTTGTCATGTTCTGGAACTGAGATATTTTTGCTGGTTATCTGGACTGATCAGCTGTTACCTCAAAGTGGCTACACAGTTGTTTCCAGCCTTTCTGCACACAGATGACTGGCTCATTTGCTGCTCAGGTTTTTAAATATTTCATGTTACCCCAGCTTAGAATAGAATATAAAACATTTCTACATATAGGTTGAATAATCTAAAAGGCTTTCTAAAAATCTAAAAAATTTTCTGGTTCAGTAATGTTAACATCTAGAAGATGGACTTGAATATATATATATATATATATATATATATATATATATATTATTTATTTATTTATTTATTTAAAGAAGCAATAAATGTTTCTATCATTTCCAAAAACAATCCTCTTCAGATACAAGGTATACTTTACAGGTGTTTTATCGAAACAGGTTAAAGCTATAAACTTAGCTGTTACTAGTCAGTGATATTTTCTCTATCATTTCTGATATTTTTAAATCAAGGAAAGATTATAAATATATAGACAATGCTCCTTAATGTATACCACTGTGAAATTAAGGTCTTTCATAAAATACAAAAACACAATGGGCAATTAAGGATCTAATATACTGACAAAGACTAATTGCTCAATATTTTCTTCTTTTTCCTTCATATTTTGAGATGATGCTGTTTGTAAATCACAAAACTCAGAACAGTGACATGGCCCTTGAATTTATATCCGTAGAACTAAGATGCTTATTTCTTATTCTCCATCACTTTGTAGATAGAAAAATTAGCCAATTATTCAGTTCTGCCTAACATGATAACCTTATATTCTTTTATGTAGCATTGTTTGCTTATTTAGAAAAGATTTATATTATACTCAAGTCTTGATAACAGCCAAAAGTCATTGATACCCACTAAGTGGTTTAGATCTGTGAAGATATATAGCTCCCACACCACTCCCATGAGAGGTATAATTATCAGCCACTTAACGGGGAGGAGACTAAGGTATATAGAGGTTATGCGGTTGGTTCAGTCACACAGTAGTTAGTAATTAGTAGAGGTGGGATTTGAACCTAGATGTCTTAGCCACAATAGTGTTAGGGATTTGTACACTGTGAGACAAGTGTCCAATAAAACTGTGGATTTTGAATGAGTTTTTGACCATAGCCCATAGTGAGAAGTACATTTTACATCACACTCTAGTATACGTGCTCTCACCACCTGTATGTTGTATACTGAACAAAAAGCTTCACAGGAAAATACTTGTCTTCACTATGTGTGAAATATTCTAATATATTTAATTCTGCTCTTTCTCACTAAAAAATTCTAGTTGTACCTCCAAATTGTATACACTGGTTTCATAATCCTCTAATGGTTTGAGACCCACAGTTTGGAAAACCACTCTAAGAAAGGACACGAGAAGGTAAAATAAAACTAACGGGGCTGATGAAAACTAAAGATGCCACTTGTTAACCTACTGTGTGCCAAAATACTATCCTTGGTATGATATTCTCCGTTCTCATTACAACCCTGAAAGGCAACTTGGTCTTATTTTACAGAATAAACTGGGTAGGTTAAGTGATTTGTCCTATGAAGTTTTAATCTAATTTAAGGTTCTTTCTACTAGTCTACTCTAATAATAACATTTGTGTTTTATTAAACAATTAAATCAGTACCGGAAAGATAATTATGATTTTCTTTTGAATTGGTTTACCGGTAAATGGAAAACACAAATCCTCTTACCAGTGGGAAACTGATTGCTTAATTTTAGAGGTGTAGCCATTTAGTTGGTTAAACTGGAATTTGGCATCTTGAAATACACCAGGAAAAATATTATTGAATAGAAAAATATTATTTTATAGAAAATAAATTCTGTTAGGAGAAAGTTCACTACGAACAACATGTGCAAGCAATTCTTAAAGAAATACAGATCCCTCCTGACAGAAAAAAAGGTGTTTAGTTTCACAAATAGTCAAAAACCTGAAAGTTAAAGGAACAGTGAGCTAATACATATTCATTTGTAAATGTGGCTAAATGTAGATATCAAGGTGAGGGTTCAGAAAAGTGAGCAATTGGAAAAAACCATAAGGTAGAAAAATACTTCACAGAGGCAAAGTAACAGAACATAGAAAAAGCTGCAGAAATTCTCATTCTTTTTCTAGCAATTCACAATAAAGAATTAATCTGAGATGTACAAACAATTTGAGGATGTTTGTTGTAACTTATTGATCATATTAGAAGAGCAGAAACAGACTTGTTAAATTATGGTGATCAATTAAATAAAGTTATTAAAATTAACAGTAAATGTTTACAAAACTAGAAGTACATTAGACTGTTAGATGAGAAAAGCAAAGTATGAAACAGTAAGTAAAGTATATCCAATTTTTCCAAATGCACTGTTGTATAAAAGACGTTGTAAAAAATACATTTAAAATGTTAAACTTGTAGAATAATCGCTTTTATTCTGTTTGTTTACACTGCCAATATATTATGAACCTGAATTATTTTAAAGTACACAAAGAAAAAACTTTTAACACTGTTTGCTCTTAAGAAAAACTGGATCTTACAGAAAGAAGTATTTTCCTAATGCCAGATTTTCAAAAATACTTTAAGATGTAAAAAGCTAAATAGAAGGAATTAATGCTCTAGTTATGTATTTAGCAAATATAATGTATAAAATGGCCACTGGTTAAAATACAGTGTAGAAAAAAATACTAAGTTATCATAGAGGTTAATCCTTTTGTAGTATAAAATGAGGAAAATCAGGATTTTTGGTTGCCATGACAACT